TCAGCTGCAGGACCTCTCCAGTCAAAAGTCCATTGAGAACTTTGATAGTGAGTCTGTTGGAATCTTCTTTCTAATTTTGAATATTCTTCCCAGGTGAGAGTTGTATCTTTAACTTGAATTCCTTCTTCAAAAATTTTAACATTCCTAACTTTAGGAATTGAATTTATAGTTGGGTAAGAAACCTTTCCAAAGTCTACATCATTGAATTGTCTAGTTGAAGTGTGAATTTGAGTCCAAGGCTTATCAGATATTCACCATAGAAAATTGTAATCTTCTAGGTTTTGATCTTCAATTTCAAACTCATAATTAGAAGTTTCACTGGAGGATGTTTCTATATCATCATCACTATCTTCTGGTATAGCATTTTATTGTCCATGAATAAATTTAATTGACACTCTTTCTTCTTCTCCATTCTAATCAAAGGTCATAATATTTTTCTTTAGATCGATTTTGGCATTGATCTTGTTTAACCAATCCATACCTACTACAAGACTATAGGTTTGAGCTTCAGTAACATTCACTTCAACTGGAATTATAATTCCATCAATGGTGATAGAGAAGTTATCAATAGCTTCTAATAGTTATTTGGAATCTCCATTAATATCAGACATGGAAATATTTGACTTTCGTTGAATTTTCATTTCTAATCGTTTGAGGAATTCATGACTGATAACACATCCTGATGTTCCAGTATTCACAATTAAATCTACAGGAGTCTTTCCAACTTTAGTTTCACACCAAGCTGAGGTTGTTTTGATTTTCTGGGTGAACATTATTTTTTGTTTGAGTTTCTTCTGTGGTTCCTTTCTCATTTCTTTTGACATTCGAATTCTCTGTTCAGGTGATATCTTGATAAGCTGAGCAATAGTGATGTTGACTTTTTGTGATGCCAAATCTTCAAGTATGTCATATGTTTCTGCTTTCTTGGCCAGAATTGGAAAATGTGCTCTTTTTTTCTTTCATTTCTTCTTTTCCAAGTTAGTCTTGTCTTCCTCAGGTACTTCAGGTAAAGACTAAGTAACTTCTTTTTCACTCTCTTCCTCTTCTTTGACAATTCTTTGGTGTTTTCTTTCTCTAGTAAGGTAATCATGAGTTGCTAGTAATGAGAAACTAGATTGAGCTGATGTATTACTAGATGGACCATTACTAGATGCTTGCAAAGCAACTATTAAATTCTGAATTTGAGTGAGAAGAGAAATAGTATCTAGGTTTTGCAAATTATTGGGTTGCTGATTATGATTTCGGATATTCTGATTTTGCTGATTATTATTATTATGGTTATTGTTCTGATTCTGATTATTCCAATTTTATGTAATATTCTGATTATTGGATAGTTGATTTACTGATTGGGAGTTATTTAGGCACACTCTACTGACATGTTCTTTTCCTTCACAACTGTAACAGACAATAGCAGTTCTGTCTCTGGGCTGATTTCATTGCTGATTGCTATTATTGTTTTGATTATTATATTTTCTACCAGATTCTACACGATCTAACCTACTGGTCAGATCTTGCAAAACCTTAGCAAGGGCACTCCATTCACCAGTTGGTTGAGCTTGAGTTTGGTGATATGTCTGTTCGAGTGGATCTGAATCAGCTTCTTTTACATTTTTGGCAGTTTCAATAATACTTTTTATAGTATCATCAGCATTTAAATTAACCCATTTTCAAATTTCAGATTTGAGACCTTTCTTAAAAATTCAAATTTTATATTCTTCTGGATAATCATTCTTTGAATTCACTTTACTTCCTAATTCCATAAATCGATTAGTGTATTCTTCTACAGTTCCAATTTGCTTCAAGGATTCTAATTCATCTTGCCATTATTGTATCTTATGAGACGAACGGAATTTAAGAATAAATTGGTGAGTAAAATTATGATCATCATGCTTTTCAGTTGTTCATTCACTTAATCTGAGAGTGTCACTTATAGCTCGTTGGTCAAATCAGGCAGTAGCTGGTCCCTCTAGATATCCTCTTACTATCTCGATCTTTCTACTATTGGTAATTCCATTAGTTTTTGTGGCTACTTCAAAGTCATGTAACCATTCAACTGAATCTTGATCATTATCCTTAAATTTACGAATTGGGATAAGGATCTTCTCCATTCTCTAAACTCTCATGGGTTGAGTTAATTTACCAAGAGCTTGAATGAGATTATTCATTCCATCTGACATGGTAATTTCTTCTTTAGGCTGGGGTTTCTGAGATTGAATTTGTTCAATTGTAATTATTGGTTCTTCAGGATCTTCTGAATCACTACTTTCATATTCTGATTCTGTAGGCTGATTAGTTGAAGGAGTTTCAAAGTTGTCTGTTTCTTCAAGAACAGAGAGAACACTATTTACTAGATAGGTTTGTTATTCAACTGTGATTTTAATTCCAAATACAAAGATATTTAATAATTTAATAATTTCTCTTCAAAGTTGATTAGATGTAAGACTTTGTTGTACAATATTATCTAAAGATCCTGTATTCAATTCACAGAGGGGGCACCAAATATTACAAACTATACTCTGAAAGGTAGGTTTTACCATGAATATAGTTTATAATAAGTTTTGAGGGCGAAGACTGAATTATTTATAAAGGTTAAGGGAATAACAGTTATTCTAAA